AAAAGGAAAAGGAAGATCATGTATTTAGGCTAGAACATCTGGTACCAATATATTTTGATGGTCCAGTGTGGATGCTTTGTATCTACTCACCTATACTATTGAAATGTAATTACACAATTAAATACATAATTTCAGAGTTAGTGAATTAATTAATAACATTCACATTTGATTTAACAGGTTTGAGTCTGCAATCTGACTTCTTTCCATTTGTTTAGATGCCAAATACATGATAAAATCGATGCAAGGCAAGACTGTACTCACCACAATGTAAATCATAATAAAATATCTCCTGTTTTGTTTATTAAGACAAACGCCATTAATTGAAAGTTTAGAATCCATCCTACTGATGGAATTCCTCTGCTTGTTTCACTGAGCTATGAGTGAGTTAATATTGAACTACACCATACTTTTGTAGTGGCCACTGATAACTAAGACTTCTGAAGATTAAAGGGGCGCTCTGGAGAAAATGACAAATGTAACCACCACTAAATTTGTTGTAAACATGAATACTCCCAACCCTCCAGCAGTGCTGCTGCACTCTCTGTTGTCTGGTTGAAAGACTTGTAAAATTCCCTTCTGATGATGTACATTGAAGGTGGAGACTTTCAAAAACTACAGCTGCCCTGGGGTGGGCTTGTGGCTGCTTTTTTTTTGTTGGCTGGTGAACGTAGAATGAAAACCAATAGCTAATGTTACTGCTAGAAAGCTGAGTATCTCTTTATAGCTGTATAACTATAGTAACTGTCTTCGATTCATCAGTACAATGAAGAGAATGAATGAAACGCTTCAGACATCTGGTTCATATCACCACCGCTGTTAACAGTTCTGACGCCGCAATTTTCTCTAGAATGGCACATTTCACAGCAAACCACTCTGAATGACTTTGCTTACATCTTACAACTATTTAATTATATTTAATTATGCAGACAAAATTGGTGGAATTACTTAAACGATAGAAATGACTCGTCAGATGAGGAGGACAAGTATCTGAAAGCTAATGTTAGCAATAGGTACAACACATCTGCTGACCTGGAGTCCGTTTTTACCACAAAAAGATGGAATTGCTGTTTACTTTACAATTTTTGTCCAACAACCGATGTAAGAGTTACACTAGTGCTTGCTTGGGTTTATTTATTAGCCTGTAGATCAGTGGCTAGCGGTCAGGATTGCCACCACAGGGATTCTGAATTATCGTTTTTCATAACACTTCCTGGATATTGTAGTGAGAGAATATTAAACGGAATGAACGAAAACATGAAAATGATATAAAATCATGAATTCTGCCAAACTGATAAGGCAGTGCTACATAATACTGCATAACAGGACAAATAACATTAAATTCTAGTTTTAGGCTGGAATGCCCCTTTAAATCCTAACACTAACCCTGTAGATAATTAAGACATTAAAGTCTTGGAGTTTCTCCAGATTTGAGGCTTTCTAGATGAGCTAAAGAGGACAATCAAAATAAGTTGTGACAGCACTGACTCTATATGTCACAAAGGCCTAAATCCCCCTATGCTTAAGTACAGGGCAGTAAACTTAAGATATTCCGTCAGGTCTTTGAGGAACACCTCTGACATGTTTGCTCAGGTGCCTGCATTAAGCGTAACTTTTTTCCATCCTATGCCCCAGTGACCCGAGATCCTCTCTGCTCCAGAGTGCCCCGTCTCTCCTGAGACGCATCGCTGTTGACTCAGCCTCGCGCAGACTCTGCCCTGACAAAACCAAATGATTCTCATTCAGGCAGCAAATAAATCTGAACAGCCTGGGTGGCCTGGTCTGACAGAACGACAAAAGCACTCATCTGTGTGGATTGAAGGGATGGAGATAAACATAAAAGTCTTTGATGTGTCTCGCACTACGTTCAGGCTCGCACAGATGAGTGACGTCAACAGAATGCAATGAGTTTTCTGGGTAGGTGAAAAGTTTGGTGGGAAAATTTTGCTTGGTTAGATCTTTAAGGTCAGTGGGAACTGAAACTACAAAGCGCCGCTACTACTTGGTATTAAATTTGGGCAGTAAAACTGAAAAACAAAGAAGTTACAAGACACTATTGCAGTCACTGATAGGGTTCATTTATATACATGTACAATGACCTCTACTAATAAACTTGGAGCCAGCGCCCAGAAAACAATGGAAAATAATTAAGGCCACGAATATCTGATCTTAGAATGAGTCGATTTTATAACAGTTGTGTAGGAAAATATTCAGGGCGTCATAAAATCATAAGATCTGGCTCAGATCATTGAAAGTGCCCCTTTAACTTATTTCAAGGTGAGTTTTAGTCATTTTATCTAGAGGAACTGTCATATTCTACTGTCAGATAATTTTGCTCATTTCAAGCATTACTTCTTGAAGTAAGCACTTAAAACAAGAACAGATGTTTGGAAGTAAGTAAAATAATGTTATAATGGAATTACAACTGTCATTTGCCCATAATTAATTTTTGCAGTGTATAAATAGAGAAACAATTCACACTGTAGTGGAACAAGCCAATATCCTATATTGCTGAAAAATGAAACAGTTTTTTGAATATTATTCTATTTGAATTTGAATTTAACTGAATTTATAATTATTGTACTTCTAATGTTACAAAATGTTTCAAAAGTGTTTCAAAAAACGTTTCAAAAAGATGTATCGTGATGTATTAATGCTCTTTTAAACCCCTAGAAATGACTCTGTGGTCTTTTAAATCTATGTTACGATGGCTCTAAGAGAAATATCTATGTTAGGACAGCCACAAAGAATCATTTAAAACTAAATTCAGCAATACTTTAAATCCACACGCTAAATCTTTTCGCCAAACAACAACTCCAGACCATTACTTGCTTTAATTATGCCATAAGATCTTCCAAATCCTACAAAATGTGTAGGATTTGGGTGTTAACATGCTTCTTGTCCTGTCTTAATCATTCTAGGGGCACGGCGATTTCAGGGATCGTGTTTGGTGTGGTATTTCTGATGGGTGCGGTGGCGGCCATCTTCCTGTGCATTTGCATGTGCATAAAGAACGGGCGCGGGGCGAGAGTGGGCGTCTTCAGCACATCCTACATCAACACTGTGACTCAGGGCTACCCAGGTAACAAAACAGTACACTTCCATGCTCTTCACTGTGAAATAGCACTGCAGCCATCTGACCACAAGATGGCACTGTTGCATTAAATGTTTACTTAGCACATCATAAAGCTCTGTTTCCACACTCTGTTATCACAATATTCATTATTTCAGTACATTCAGTACTGAGCTTACTGATATGAATGAACACAGGCTATCAACATTGCGTTTATAGACGTGTTATATTGTCCTTTATACCAGAGGCGACAGCTGTAAGTGATTTTTTAGCTTTAGTAAATAAAACAAAGGATATCCATTGCGTTTTATATTATCTGTAGATTCTTGGCTAGCTAAACAAAAATAGTGATAACAATGCAACTGCAGCTGTGCTGTAGGCTGTAGGAAGAGATCATTACAGTTGGATGCCAAATGTTTTCGTTTTGTTGATAAGTGAAAATAAGTGAACACATCCTCTTCAAAGAACACACTTCTGAACATTTTAATACATAATTACTGTTTATTGGCTGAATTTAACACATTGGGAAAAACATAAATAAATCTTTTATGTTTTATTTTTTCCAATATGCTAAATTTGTGCAACATTTTGAGAAAAATGTCATATTTAAGTTTGCTGCCTGTAGAGGATGTGTTAACTTCTTTTCACTTCAAAAATCAATAAAACACGTAATTTGATTGGGAATATTCAAACATTTGCATACAACTGCATAACAGAACCAAGAAGAGTTGAAAACTAAGGCAAGGTTCAAATTGTGGTGGAGTTTTTTTTGGGGGGGGGGTTCCCTGATGGACTATGAGGTGGCCCTTATAAATGAATACTATTTTCATATTATAGTTTTGTGAGGTTTACCCTTATAATTTGTTCACCAGTATTACTAGACTGGAGTTATTTTTAACTTCATGTCTGTATGAATCTAAAGAATTTTTACACCTACAGCCTGGTTCAGCCCCCAGCCCCATTTTATTTTATTCAGTCATAAAAATAGTTCTAATCACTTTTCATAGGTCTAATTACTTCTCCTTAGATAATTAATATGTTTTGGTTGTGTTATTGCATGAGACAGTGGGCTGGAGTGAACATTACTCATCACATATTTTCATCTAAAATTAATACTCTTCAATAACAAAAACATATTTATTTTTCATGGCTGATAACAACTTATTTTATTTCTGTTTCTGGTTGTTGCTGAAGTCAAAAGTATCTAAAGTTTCTCGGCAGTTTGAGGTTCAGTTTTAAACTGGAGCGATGCAGATTCAGGCTGGGAGAGCTTACAGTTTATCCAGGGGGAGAAATCTAATGTGGAATCCAATGAAAAATGAGAACAGAAGTGGGTCACCTCATGTGAGGGCATTAAAATTTAAGAAAATTAAAAATTAAATTCAAGAAATATCATGGGACCCCCCCAAGTTCAATTTTGTCTCTCTTATGGGATGTCCCTTTACACTTATTGGCACCCCCCCCCAATTCAAACTCTGAACTAATTACACAAAATTGTTTTCCCCAGAGTGTCACTGCTCCTGCAGTTTTCTTGTACAAGGTCCAATTATTATGTTTGTGTGGTTTAATAATTCGTAATTCTATTAAGACCTCTATTCTGATTGGTTGCCCTGTATTGTGTCTCATTAAAAAAGCAGTACAAACGCTTATAACTTCATTGTGGATGGGCTGGGCTGGACTGCTGTAGCCTGAATAGATGAATAAATTAATGTGTTGGTTTTCAAGACATCACCAAAACAATGAATTCATAACAGGCTTGATTTCTGTATATGGACTATAAGAAGTGGGGAGTGAATGGTAAATTTTTTTAGCTTTGTTTTTACATACTACTTAGTTAGTGTTTACATATTACATCAAACACTATTATCGCTAAACGAGAGGAAAAAACAGCTTTCTGTAATTTGTGCCCTTTAAATATAAAATTGACACATTTTATTCTTTTCAGTCAGAAAAAAAAACTATTTCAGCTCTGGCCAGTAAGGGAAGCCCTTCAAACTTCGCCTATGCAGTTTCAAAGTATACCATTTACTTCCCCGTCCATACTGTACATATATGGAAACTGAAAATTTGGAATGGAAACAAATTTTCTTGTTTTTGTGAAACATTTAGGTATATATCCTCCTATCAGCCTATAACAGTTTAGCCCCGCCCATTCAGAAGTTAGAAGGAGTGTTTCAGCCTAGATTTGTTTTTTAACAAGGCACAGTAGGCAGCCAGTCAGCATAGAGCTTACATACATATATCAGTCTTAAAGGCACAGGCACACAAACAGCATGTTTAATTGTAAAGGATAAGGGGAACACAAAAATGGTAATGGAAAAAAACTGAATTACAGCCAGTTTTAATACATAAAACCACACAAACATTCTAAGATGACTTCAAGAAGAAAAATGACATAAACCAAAATGTAGGGTTTGGGCTTTTAAAATGGCTATTTTTCCATTTAAAAAAGATCAAATTGACTACAGTAAAAGCGACTCAAGTATTTCTACTTGATGAAAGGTGTTTAATTTCAAAGATGTGCTTAAGAATAGGGACTCAAAGGGGCTTTTTTCTGTACTGTGTTAGATTGACTTGATTCAAATGTGTGCATCATTTCCACAAGGATAGAAAATCACATCTACACAATTTTGTCTTTCAGTTGACTTTCTTTTGGCAATAACTGTGTTGATGTGATGGCATTTATCTACGTTCACACATTTGAATCAAGTCAGTGAAGTGCTACTTTAATAAGCACATAGCGCTCTTTGCTTTTTAATATGAGTAACGTCTTGCTTTCCCTCTTACACAGGACCACCACCTCCTTATAGCTATGACTATGAGATGTATCCCCCCGATCTTCGGCCCCCACCGTACACTCCAACACCACCCAGAACAGCAAACTACTCTCCACCTCCACCCTACCCAGGCTACAACAGAAAATGAACCTTCGACGTGCTCACCCTGGAGATCATTCTGCAGTGCACAGAACAATGAACTGTTACACGCTGCCTCTGCTACATCATAGAGGTAGAAGTGAACTGTACTGCAGGCTGTGTTTTATAAATGAGGCCTTCTGCCTTTTCTAATCTTGGACCTGAGGGTCAGATTAAATGTCCTCTTTCACAGAAAAAGTTTCAGCCCAGCTGATAAAGGGGGTGTGGATCGTCCCCACTGTGACTTGTTATATACTGTTGAACAATTTTTTTTATCATTGGATGTATGGAACCACGACTTCATCTGGATTAAGCGGTTAAGATGATGAATGAATAAATGAATGAATGAATGGATGTATGGACATTTGAATGAAGATGGAAGTGTACACCTAAGTTATGAGTGATTCTGGACTACAAAGTAGAGGTGCAAGCCTAAAGAAAGGGAAAAAAGTCCATGGCTAAACTCATTCTCCATCTGGTACAGTGACTTGAACAGTTATGTGTTGTGTCATGATGCATTTTGTTCAGTTACAGGAATCAATGTGGTTTTCTTTGCAAAAATTGAGAATAAAAGAAAAAGAATAAAACATAAAATTACAAAAGATTTCATTGTCGTCAAAGTTTATGGCTGGGTATTGAAATTTCAATACTATGATACTGCACAAATTACCACAATACTATGTCATTCAAATTTTAATACCCAAGCAGACAGTCTTATCGGCCTCAATAAGCCAAGAAGCATGCATGTTCCAAAATCCAGACTGCTGATTGGTTGTCTAACTCTGTATGCACATGTTATTAACATCAGCCACTCTTGAATACTCTAAATATAAATAAATGTAAATATACCCACCTTCAGCACCTCACACACATACCAGGTTTAAGCCACACCCACTTTCGGTGTCTAATTTTGAAAAAGCTATCAAAGAAGTTAGGGATGCACATATATGGGAATTGAATAAAATTATCTAGTATTTTTATGCACATACCTGCCTATTCCAATTCATAAACATTTATGAAGGGTAGACATACCTACAGAACTACATTTGCCTGGATTGTAACATTTGTTTCTGTAGGGTCGCAAATGCTTTATTACTGATATGATTCCAATATCATTGTGCATCCGTAGGAAAATAACTGGATGTTACTGAAGTCATGCTGAAGGCATTGGTGTTGACAAAATTTAAACAATACCCAGCCCAAAAAGGAACTGAGTAGAATTCTGTTCACATTGCCAGATCTTTAGTTTTCAGGGGTTGAATGACTGAGTAGTTTCCTTGTATTCATAAACCAGCACCTAATCACTGCATTATGGACATCACAGCGCTTTTACATGACTGAAAAATTCTTGTTTTTGAACTCCTCAATTGTTTACTATTAATCTCATTGAACCTTATAAATGTATTAAAGATAACTGGCTCTGTGATCAATAAGATGAACATCTTTACTGGGGGAGATTTAATGCACCAGAGCTAATAAAAGATCTATCAAGTTTACTTTTAGCTGCTAAGGCCTAATACTGTTGGCCTGTCTCTCTCCCTCTCTGCTAGCTGACCTTGTAAGAGTATATCTGAAGCCACAGTCCTTTTCACTTTGAACTGAGGGAAGTGTCCGTCAAGCTTTGGTGTACAATGTAGTTAAAAAATTGGTTTGAGCAAGGCCTCTTATTTGATCCGGGTCCATGAAAACCAATTTCCACAGAGTCAAGACGGCACATATTGAAATATAAGCGGATTTTGTTTCAAAAAAAGCTCTGGATTTACTGGCCAGGGAGAATATAGCACTGCCATATCAATTATTCTCCTGCAGCACTGCTAAAAAAACAGAAGATCCCCAGAGAAAAGTGGCTATTGAACCAGGTTCTTTCTGCAAGAGCCACTGCTGTCTGATGAATCGCCACACAGTGGCAGCAAAGGATTTTTCCTGCTGTCTTTGGAGATTACCTAAGAGACTCATGTCCCTACACTGAGCTTGATGTGCTTTTTTCTATTAAAAAAACTGAATTATAGGGATGCACGATGATATCAGCAGGTAATTACATAAATCATCAGACAGATGTTTAGATCCGACTGTTAGTTCAGACCGGTATTTGCTAATGTATTTATTGTACTTCGATTCTGGACTACTGCATTTTACATCTGCATTTTATTTAGATTACTGCATATGTAGCCCATCAGATATCAATGTTACATTTCTCTGTAATGCTAATCCAGGTACAGGTAGTCCCAATTTCTACATTTAGTCCCCATTTCTTCATTAATGCTTATCTAGGTACATGTAGTCTCAATTACAGAATGTTTATACATCGGCATTAACCGATATGTACATGAAAAGTATCGGGTATCAGCACTGACACATAATTCCCAAATCAGGCAATCCATATTTGTTATCCTACAGAAATAAGTGTTATATTTCTCCACAAGACAAATCCAAGTAAATTTGGTATCAGCAGTTAAGTACATGAAAAATATCAGATATCTGCATTGGTCCACAGTTCCTATATCAGTGCATCTCTAGTAAATTAGTCTAATCTTCAGGTTCCCAAACCTGGTCCTGAAGAACCCCAACCTTGCACATGTTTGTATTTGCCTGCTATAACACACCCTGTTGAACTCAGGAAAGCCTTGTTAATTGGCTGATTAGTTGGATCAGGCATGTTGGGAGCATTGAAAACACTAAAGCTTTTGGTGTTTCAGTACTGGTTTTAACATGCCTTCACCAACTTCCACTCACCACTCAGAAGTGTGTCACGCCAATGTTACACAAGTGGGCATGCACAGCGGAAGCAGAGGAGGGGACAGATTATTCAATTGGAATGCACTCGCCCTTGACTAGGTTAGTTTTGAGATGTTTGAACATAACATTGTAAAGACGTTTACTGCTATGGCTTTAAATCAGTTTAGGCCACCATTGTTATTGAGTTTAAATAGGAGAAATGAGTCTTACAGGGCCATATACATCTAGGACCAGCTTGTTAAACTTTTTGTGCTGGACTGTGGCATAATCCTCAAAAAACACTAGTAAAAACCTGCTCCAAATTCCTCTAGTTCATGCTCTTTTAATGTCTGGAGTACTAACACAACCAAAACAGCTGAATAAAAATAGCATACATTCTACGTCAGTCTAAACTGGTCTGTGCTGGTCTAGTGCTCGACTGGTGCTGGCTTAGCTGGTCACCCAGCATGGTCATGCTAGTTGACAAACATACCAGCATCCAAAACACAATATATGATGGTTTTGCAGACGATCAGCCTAATAACTTCCATTGTTGCTGACCAACATACCAGCATCCAAAACACAACATGTGCTGGTTTTGCTGGTGACCAGTAATGCTGGTCTATGCTGTTTTTTCTAGCAAGGATGCTAGTTAGCACAGCTAACGTTGGCTAAACTGAGCTGTTTATTTTTACAAATATTAAAAAAACAATTTACTGCATGTAATGTGTTCTCTGCAACACACGACATCTACATACTTACAAAATTGGAGGTTTTTTTTAGGGGAGGACTTTTCAGCCATGCTATCTTACATTACATCCATGAGCTAACGACAGGCTTGTTGATGAACACGCCATTGTCCCCCTAGTTTCAGTTCTGCTTTCATAAGGCATTGACTGACTTAGAAACTTCACACTCCTGCCCTAATACATTTATGCTTCCACCCACATTTAGCCCAAAATATCTCATGGTTGTCCCCAGACGTTCTTGTTACAAGATCATGTTTGGCCACGAGAGACCAATAAAGTAATGGAATGGGCCTTAAGACGGTGTTGGGGATACCCCTGAGGGGAAATGAAGGCAGCTGAATGAGGGCATGTTAAAACTCGTATTTAAACGGGCGGTAAGATGTGCAGGGTGAGGGCTTGGAACCACTGGGGTACTCCAGTGGCTTTTAACTCCATTACTAAGGGCCCACTGCCCCAACACACCTCACGAAAAGCTTGATTATTATATGCCGAGCTTGATCAGGTATGTTGGGCCCAGGATTAGTTGAAGCTATTCAGGGCAGAGGGTCCCCAGGATTGGAGGCGAAAACCACTGGACTAACCAACAGACACAAGCTCAGTCAAGCTTCACTGTACAGTTAGCCCAAACACAGATAAAACTGCATTTATTGTTCTGTGGCCTATTGAGTTCAACCGATTTTGAAGAGATTAAGGTGAAAAATAACACAGTAATATCCTCAAGGGCTAAAAAAAACACTGAAAATAGCTCCTCTCCAGTGCCTCTCCTTGCTGCCCTCACTAGTCACGTGACTCTGGAGCAGCTGCACAGCCTCCCTATCGCTCTCCATCACACTCACACACACACACACACACTTCACACACTCACACTCATTCTCACAGAGTCGACACGAACGGAGCCATCGACACCACATTCTGACAAACACGGTGAATATCGGGAGAAGTATTATGGGGGACCGCGGGGTTTTCTTGCTGCTCATGGCTGTGGCCTCGGCGATGGCTCTCGAGGTAAGAACGAGCTTATAAAAGTGCTGGCTTTTTGTGGAAACCACTGAGCTTTCCGTCTTTTAACCACATAGCGGTTAGCTTACCTGACTGACTGACTGTGGTTGTCAACATGCCATAATACTGTAATAGCTGTTAATACAGCAACGACTACCTCGAATATAAGCGACTGAACATGTTTTAGTGCAGTATGTGTGTGTTAGCCACCGTTGTTTGACGGTTTGGCGGTTTCTATGCCAACGTGAGCGTTTTCAGGACTGGCTTTGGGTAACGAAAACTGGTCACCTTGAGGCTACAAAGGCTACACCCCAGAAATAAACAGCAGGGTAAAGGCAGGAATTCAGAGACAAAAACGGGCTAAAGGTCCCAAACTACGGAGTCTAACATGTTAGCCTCGTCGTCCGATGGCTGGCAACGATTTTGCTTGCTGCTTCGCCGACATGGCGTTGTTAAAATGAACATAAGAATCGTTGTTTTTGGACCGGAGCGGCGAAAATACAGTATGAACTGAATGGATTCCATCATATAACCTTACAGCCACGGCCTGTTCTTTAAACAGGCAACAAAAAAACTAACCTAAAATTGATATTAAATCAATATGGTGATTATGGCCCATATTACATGAGACTTGTGTGAGGTTTTACAGTCGTGGTGCTCGTTTGAATTCTTATAATGACCTAGGAAATACAAATCCTTGTCATTTGGGATATAACGACGATTAACGTTATATTCATTTAAAGCCGTTGAAACGAAGAGAACGATAAGCCAGCCGTAGCTAGTTTGGCGTAACGTTAGTGAAGCTACAGAAACAGAGAAGACCCATATCTACGGGAAACACAGACTGTTTGGTTTAAAATAACAATAAGACAGCAATATCTGCCATTAAAATGTTTTTATCCTAAATATGTATATATGTGGAGGCTGAAATGTCATCCCTGGCTTGTCGAAAGTCCAGGCCGTTGTTTTAAGAATTGCGCAGTCGTGGCGTTAACGTTAGTCCCGGTTAAATTTAGAAGGGGGTGTGAGGAGGAGAAATGGTTTTCCTCGGTTTTTTTCATATGTTTGTAAAAAATTACGGCTTATTCGACTGGACTCTAGACAAGAAGGAATTGGCTA